TCAGACGACTATGACAACAACGACCTTCGGAGGTTATTAGCACTGAGATATTCCTACAGTACTGCTACTTGTAGTATATATTTTTTGTATTAGCAATATGCAAGTGCTCACTATGTATGTGATAGTATTTCATATAATGATAGTACTTCTAAATATGCCACTCCTATACGTACTTTCCTTATTAGCATTGCTTTGACGTATGGCACTTGACCCTCCAATCACGAAACTTCATACAAGGCTGCACTGCCCCTTTTGTTCACGGCGTTCTGCACCTCAGTTTAAACGGGCAACACCTCCACAGTATAGGGGCACCTGTATTGCTACATGCACCTCGTTTCATTTTACTGGCGAGTTCAATTCTTCAGCAATATCGTGCTCAAATGCTGTAAAACTATGGCCTGTTTAAATTGCCTTCTAGACAACAATTAACAAAGGAAGGTGCAGCACGACATGAAGGGGATCCAGTGATTGGATCGGTTAAGCGCTCTGTAAGCACGCTCTTGTGTATTAAACAATATTGTAGAGCACATTTATTTAATACTACTATTTTACTCCTGACTTTATTTGTATTGGTTTTCTGTTCTTTAAGATGTTACTTATTCACTACTATTGTCTTACAAGTGTTCAGACAGGCGTGTGTATGAGTAGTATATCTGCTTGTATATTACTGTATGCAATACTACTGGTTCTTCTAATACATACGTTGCTGGAGTATGCGGTAATATATTTTAATTTACTTAGTAGTTTAGTATATACATCATTATTACTGATGCTGACTGCGTTAGTAGCGTACGTACTACTGCTGTGATGCAATGCTATATAAGCATATATTGATAGCACAACACTATTTGTACAGTTACTTACGTTTCTTTAATCTATGCATTGTATTTACGCTACCGCTGATACATGTGATCATACTGTATGGGATAGCCAGTATTATTTTGACCCTTCATTCCAGTACGGATATAGTCAGACAATGGCTGGAGCATCCTAAGGAGAAAGAGACACTGCGAACGAATCAGTTGAAGAAAGCGAGAGATCTGAGAGAATCAGACCTATGCGTCTTTACCCATTCTTCAAATTGTCACTTTTATTTTGTTCCGTCATGAAACGTTTTATTCAAACCTCTTGATCCCTAATGCTTCGGTTGATCTGCCTCTAAATAACTATACAGCGGTATGTTCCTAACCCACAGTTTGATACGTAAATAATATGGGTGGCCCAAACTGCCAGCCGAAGACCCCGGGAACAGCCAAGAACAGCTTGGGGCAAATGTATGGAAGGACTCTGCTCCAGACTCGGGTTATCTTCTGCCGGAGCTCAAACGCTATCAAAGTGTGGCGGACTTTGTAGACATTGTCTAATGCGTTTGCCTCCGCGACCCGAAAGGATAAGCGATCGTTGAAACTGGCTGACAGACGGACTGTCTGTCTGACTGACTGACTAATGGGTGGCTCTGATCACATGTGTTATGCTGCAGCAGTGTCAGTAGCATTTTCAGCCATATAGCAGTTAACTCTAAAATGTTAACAAACTCTTTTCACTTATTTCGGTCGCGGACCATGGATCGATAATATTTCATTATGACATGATTATTTATGTGTCTGAAATCTGTTTGGTTGTTTTATCAGTCTGTTCTGTTCAACAGATTAGCGGGACCGTTTTCTGACAGTTTGCGCCTCGCCACACGTATGAAATTTCTAGATTTGCCTGCTTTCCTACTGTCTGATTTGTCTTCCTTCCTATGCTTTCATATGTTCATGTTCTTGTAAGAGTTATCAACGGGTAGGAGGGACGAAATCGATATTTCGGCGATCAAGCAACAGATTCAAATGAAAGCAAAAACGGGTTTCATGAATATGACTGAAACGACCTTCCTCTCATCTACTTCACCATTAGTAATCTTTCTTCGTGCGAGGAATATAAGCATATGGACACATACATTCCTCTTTCTTTGTTTTCAGTGATAGCGGGTAACAAGAAACCAATAATCATGGCAGCATGAGAAAACAGGTGACGGCAGGTCGTTCGTTTATGTGCGATGTTCGTTTCTTTTGCTTGGAGTATGTAGTCAAATGCTTCCAAATTAACAGTGCATGCAACAGTCGCGTTCACGTAATTGTTTTTTCTAAATTGCAGATGCTGATTTTCTGAATTCCCTCTGCAACGAAATACCAATCACTTGAAAATTTACTGAACATCTATTAAATATTGTATTTTATCAAAGAGTTTAGTCTGTGTTGTAAATTTGGCTGTGAAGTGGGGGGGGGCGTTAAGCATTTGTGTTTCATTTATGGTTAATTTATTTATATAGAATTATTCAAAAGAAGCAAAGATCGTAGTTATCACAGGAGAATGCAAAAATAACTCTGCTGTTGTTCAACAATCGTCGAAACCAGTTTGAACGTTAGCGTATTCGTAATGCCAAAAGCAGCTGTAAATTTGGAGATATCAAAGACGTTCTATTCGCCCAATCTAACGGAGATATGAACAGAGACAGTGCAAGGACTTGAGCAATGTCTCAATGTAAACTGTGAAGAAAATGCGTTAAACCTTAATCCCTGATCAGCCACTCGAGGTCCCGAATTTGACTTCAACACAATCGAGGTTGTTCTTTATTAGTCTTTATCAAATCTGTGTGTAAATAATTGTCTTGACATCCAGCCGAGTATAACTCAAAGCGGTGATTTCTGTAATAAAATCTGTGCGAAGCAATCGCGTACGGAATATGAAGGTCATTAAAAAAATTAGTTTCCCTCAAAAACTTAGCAACGCAATTAATTTTTTAAATTGTAAAACTTTTATATTGAAGCAATATTTCATATGAG